CCTATGTTCTTTCATTCTTTGGGAAAATGTTTTCAGCGTTTGGCCAATATAAAGTTTTGGACAAGAACCACAACTTATATACTTCTTCTATTTTTCTAATATATTTTTTTATTGTTTTTAGATTTGATCTGTGAACCACGTTCCAAATCCTTATTCTTTTTCAAAAAAACAAGCGATGTTACTGATGGGTTAACTAAAGTATGTCAATGTCCTATGACGCTTATCATCGTTTCCTGTTGAATGGCTTGTCTTCGTAGTTTATTGGAAACAAGATTTCGAATCCATTTAAGTGAATTTATTAGAAACAAAGACAAAACTTCAGTCTCGAATAGATCAAGAGTATGTAAGTTGACTTGTGGTTCTTGTCCAAAACTTTATATTGGCTAAATGGAGACATCTTTCCCCAGAATAGAATAGAAGAACATAGGAGTCGTTTCTTGAAACCATATTTTGACAGAGGAACATGCGTTTAATCGTGTCTATGACGCATCACATTTGAAAGAAACAGGTTTTGAAATTTTAGGAATGCTTGGAAATTGATATATTTGAGAGTTCTGAAAACTTACTAAATTGCCAAGACGTATTAAATTCTTCTACTCTGTTAAATTTGTTTTCTAGGAATTGGTAATTAGTTGATTAAATGACAATTTTTCGAGCTGATGAAATGTCTTTCATAATAAGATATTTCAGATCCATCCTTCATGAGACTATTCTTCAAAAAGCGATAAATAATTTTTATTTTTTTTCTCTTAGGATATCAACTTATTCTCGGTAAACACTATTTTGACAAAACAATCATATTTTAAGCGAACTTGATGCACAATATTCCTTTACAATACAGTTCTACATCAACATAATACATTTCAGTATGTATTTCAGGTAAAATATGAAACTCGATTTTTCATCAACGTTTCTATGAATAAATATATATAGAAAAAATGTTTAATAGGGGTCCTGGATCATCATTTTAGTTGTCTGTTGAGTCACTGTCTTGATGGTCTGGGGCTACGGTAATACATAGTGAAGTGGATAATCTTAGCGACTGGAGAAATGTACAGCAAAATAGATTAACGGGGTCTCTCAGTCAAAAAATCAAAAACTCTGCTCTACTTTGCCAAGCTTTCGCTTCCAATGGGAAGCTTCTTCAGGGCAGTAAAAATGAGTTAAAAACAATAAATTGAATATATGAACTGACGGAGAAGGTTAAACATGTATAGATTATTTTGTGTTTGACAAATGTCATACTTTCACATTTTATGCGAGTTTGGGAAGATATGAATAGTCGATTGATTGCTGGTAATTGTGATAAATACTCAATATACTGTAAAATAAGAGAAATAAAGAAACTGTACAGAAAGGTTCCGAAACAAAACAAGAAAGAAAGAAAAACTAAGGAAAGTACCAACTTCTAATTACCGCCCTTTCCACTTCTATGCTGCTATGCTAATTTTCAGAAAACTAATTTTATGATCCAGGATTTTGTTACAGATATTTTGCCGAGTTCTTAAGTTCAACAGAAAGTTTATAATGGATTGATTCACCAAAAATCAGATTCGTTCATAAGTTTTGTCCGTTATAATGTCATGTGTTTTGTAGCTCCATATCTCAATAAATATTTATTTTACAGTGTCCTGATGTATATTGTTCCATAGAAAATTTTGTACTCTATACATAACCTTCGAAGATGCGCCGCGACCTACAGTAATCCAAAACGAGGATTTGATGATCCTGTAGGAAACTGACCTATCACAAACGGCGAGTAGGATCGCGGATGAACTGGACGTCAGCTACAATACGGTTTTTAATGGATTAAAAGGAATTAGAAACATCAAAGAGCTCGAACAGTGGGAACCCCACGATCTTTGCTTTTGCGCAACCAACAGGAGACGTTCAGGGCAGTGGTTGGACACCGATCTAAGTACTACCCGAAGGCGAATTCCCACCAAGACCATGGTTACTGTATGGTGGTGATGCACTATAACTTTCTGCAACCGGGTTAAACCATCACAGCAAAAGTCCTATTGCGAGGAAATCGGCGAAACGTATCGAAAATTGCGTCAGCAAAAGCCGGCTGTGGTCAACAGAAGAGGTCCGATTCTGCTCCATGACAATACCTGTCTGCACGTTTCACAATTCACCGTCCGAAAAATTAAACGAGTTGAGAGTCGAAGTTCTGCTTCACCCACCATACTATCCAGACCTTTGGCCAAACGACTAAAGCTTGTCGCCCATATGTCCGGCACAGCACAGCACGGCCCGTCCCGTCAAAATACGGATAGGATTGGAACAATGAAAATGAATGGACAACCGCCCACTAGTCCGGCACGGCACAGCCAAAAGCGTCCGCCGCCGGAAAGGATTCCAGCTCTTCGATCCTGTCCGGCAAGTAACGGTACGTGTTGTGACGGACTGGCCAAGTGAGCGCGTCGCCGTCCAGCATCAACTTGTCCAAAAGTGCCTGGGAAGAGTCTGTCTCTTTGATTTGCTATTTCCTCAGTTGCTTTTTAAGACAGCCTCTAGTGGATCCAGAAGTTCTGAAAATTTGCCTGGAGTCATTCGGAAATACTGGAAAAATTTCTCCTCGTTGAAAAGATGATGAAACTCTCCCAGATTTGGCCTCTTTTGATTAATAGGATTGACTCACATCCTTCTTTTTGTGACTATTTTCTTCTAAATTTATTATTGCGGCCACTATAATAACGACTTCTTCGTCAGAACTGTTAGTGATGCCCATGTTTCTGTCAGCGCTCGATGTCAAGTGGGCGATGCTACTACCCGTTGCCATCAGACGACGGACAGCGCCGTGCTGTGCCGAACAAGTGTGTGACAAGCTCAACATATTTTTAAGCACTTTCCCACCAGTATCGCCAATCAGCAGCGGCGGCTCGTCAGAGGAGGCAAAGGAGGCTTAGCCTCCCCATAAAATTTGAGGCTATTCATCATAAAAATGCTTGGGTATCATTACTTTACCATTAATTTTTGATATAAATACATAATATGCCCGAAAAAACACTATAACTCACTACGTAGTACGTACCACACTGTATCCTGCATCAACAAAACTCAAACGCACCGCTCATGAACAAATAACGAATAAACTATCAACCCGAAATAATAAATGCCATACGTTACAAGGGAGCCAAGCCCCCGACCGCTTTGTAATTTCAGTTGCAGAAATTATAGCGTCAGAGGAGGCTTGCCTCCAGTTGGTCTCCGTTAGTGTACGAATGCGTTGGTTTTTTATTTAATTATTCGGACGGGATACCGTGACGGACCGGGACTAAAAAATATTTCGGTAAATCGTTTTAGTGTTTCTTGATAATATTTGTCATTTGTGTATAAAACAAGCAGTATTGGACAAAATTGAAAAATCTGACGATATAGTCGATTGGCTGCTGACGAATAATTTAAAGTTTTTATCTTATGATAATAAATTTTACATTATTAAAACTTTGGGAAGGCCTGTACCAAATTTGATTTCAATTAAATCGTCAGATAATCGACAAAATCGTCGATTTAATATTAGTTGGTACGATAAATGCGATTGGTTAACCGGCTCCATTAAACGAGAAACATTTTTTTGTTGGCCCTGTGTTTTATTTTCCGTACAAACCGAATACCAAACTTGGTCTAAAATAGGATACTACGATTTAAAAAATTTACCTCGTGTTATGGGGCAAATAAGATTCACAATTTGGCACTTTTTTAAACGGTAGCGTTTTTTCGGGCACCTCAAAAACCATCCAAAATGAGTTTATTATAGACAGTGTGGCATACATTATTAAGGAAAATATAAGCAAGGAAATTGAAAGTGTTTCTTTTTTTGCAGTGGAAATTGATGAAACTACCGATATTACTTGTACATCACAACTTTCAATCGTTTTTAGATATGTCAAAGATGGTAATGCGGTAGAACGTTTTATGGGTTTTCATGATGTTTCATCTGGGCGCACAGCTGACGATTTGTTTAATTTTTTAATTCGTACGTGTGACACCCATAATTTTAGGCAAACGTTAATTGCGCAAACCTATGATGGAGCTGCGGTCATGGCCGACTATTTAAATAGTTCACAAACTAAAATAAAGTCCATAGCTCCTCATGTACTTTTTAGGCATTGTCCTGCCCATGCCCTAAATTTAGTATTAAGCAAAGCGCGCAACAACATACAAATTTTCGCACCTCCGGGGCGGGCTTTTCTGTGTGTATACAGTCTATGTGACTTAAGCCTCCCCTGTTCTCCAATGCACGAGCCGTCACTGCCAATCAGGACCAGGCAAAAACGTCCTTCGTCGACTTGATCAAATCCTGAGCACACAATTTTCATGCTGACGGAAACAATCGTTGACAAAAGTTGGCAAATAGCGCATATTTTGATTGAATTGAATAAATATTCACTGATATATTACAGTTTGAAGTACACTCATAAAAATGGACAAAACTTCGGATCCATCGGTGGACTGATGAATTCAAGAACTCGTCAATATTTGTATAAGCATGTGTTCTGGGGCCTTTTTTTCAAAAGAGTTTAGTTTTCCATCAATAAATAGATCGACTATCTCGCTCTGTTTTGAAAGTAAAACTAAGAATTTTCTCTCGATTTTAAAATAAGGCTCCAGCAGTGTCATTATTCCCTCTTGGAATAAAACAGTTGGGATCGTGTACCTTCTAACGCCGCATACGGTATAAACAAAGTGGCCAGATATTAGTACAAGTCATGAGAAATCAACAAAATGTTGCATTCGGTTATTTACGGGCTAGAAAGTAACGCTTATATATCAATATACAAAAATTGTGTGGTACTGTTAGATGAACAATAATAATAACGATTTATTTTCCCAAGAAACAATGTTTATAGCATCCATTCGGGCGTTATCTTCACATAGAGAAATGCGTCTTTCAATACTCAAGAACGGGTAACTTGCCGGAGGTACAGTTGAATCGGAGTGAGATCAGGAAAGTTAGCAGGCTGTACAGTACTCCAAAATGGTGTAATACTTACTATACAACCTACTACCTCACATGAAACCCAACCATGATTTTTCTTCAAAGATTTCCTCTTGTCGAAACTCCTTGTCTGCGATGTATGCTACATACCGGACGTTTCCACCAGAAGGTACCTGTAAAAACGAACTCGTGACGATTTAAAAAACACAAGTTCGGATCTACGGGTTCATTCAGATGAAAATGTAGCTCGAAGATACATTCTGAAAAGTAAAACATAAATTATTGCGGTTGAATCAGATATATAATACTAAGAATATTAGTATATTGAAACAATTTTCAGCAGAGGTGACAGTCATAGGGATAAATGAAAAATACCGTCATCAAAACATTACATTTACGTGACAATGCTAGATTTCTCGAACAATTGTCATCGAAAACGAATGACGCATGTGTAACGTATGATCAGAAAGTATTTTTACTCGTTTTATGTTATTGGATTGACACGTACAGAGTTAATATCAAAATCGTTACACCATGGTTGGCTATACCTATATCACCTCAGTTATACAGGGTGTAACTAAATAAGTGTAAACCATTTAAGGAGGTGACTCCTCATCGAAAAAAAATAGGATCTTTCATATAAAGAAATTTCATTTGAGCATCCCTTGTTAAGATACAGCCCCTTAAAGGGGGTACATAAAATTTGTATAACAATTTTTTTCACAAGCACT